CACATGACCATAACACAAGGCACAGATCACTCTTTGATGTTCCTCGTGTCCATCTCACACTATGCAAAAACTCAATGCACATAAAAGGCCCTAAAATCTGGAATTATTACCTGTGAATATAAAAGAAACACTGTCTGTTTATAAATTCAAGTCTCTTCTTAAAAATCACTTACTCCCCCACAACTAAATAAATACTGAATAATTGTATCTCATAAATGTTTAACCTGTGACCCAATCAAACTTCGTTATTTTTCATTGCATTACCTAACAGAATACTCCATTCTACTGAATGCACAGCAACACAGTAAATGACCATATGACCTGTCTTTGAAATACTCATTTGTGCTTAATATTTGTTTACAATAATGTTTACCACTGAATATATCATTGCTTATTTAATCTTAAGTTAATTTTAAGCCTGCCCATAATGCTCTGCATACAAGGGGCTTTGGCATGTTACACTTAATCACTGTATTTCTTTGTACTTCTATGTATCATGTTCAAATTAATAAATAAATAAATAAATAAATAAATAAATAAATAAATAGGTCATTTCTGTTTGGCGTATTTCTGTCTGAGTAGTGAAACATTCGTAGCAACAGAGTGAATCTGTTGCAGGGAAGGAGATAATGGAAAACTGGAGTACTGATGAAGTGGTCCGTGGACCAGTAATTATGTATATTGTTCTTATAGATATGTGGTATGAGCATGACGGTGGCAAAGAATAAATACATTTCAGCCACTGTTGTGTCCTTCCACCTGTGCAGCCATGATGATTCTCCAACCTCTGTTATGTTGTCCATGACATATCGGTAATAATTGTTTGTCTGGGTCACTATGAAGTTCATTATAGGCTCGTTGAAGTACAACTGGAAATAGTCTTAACTCTGTAGACTCATTCGTTATGGGACATTCTGGCTGGATACCACTTCCACTCGCATCAAAATCACAAGGCTGTGGCACAAATATTCTTTGTGTCCAGTTCCACTCACGATCACATGGTGCAGGGTGGACCTGTGGCATGGGGCGAGGGGGAGCAGGAGGAGGGACAGGAGTGGAGGCAGCACATGGTTGAGGGGATGCCAGGCGGTCCTTTGTCTGTCCACCCACTGCGCCATGTGGTCCAGGCACCGTGCCACTCACCACTACTTCCTCCATCCCCGCATATTCGCCTTCATGATCACTTTCACTATCAGTGGCCAGGGTTTTGGATCGTGACTTGCCACGACCCTTGGGGATTGCTTATGGCACACTGCCTGAACGTAGATAACGATGCCTAAAAGTACGCTTCACTGGTGAATAATGAACTTCACTATCGCTAGACAAATCCTTGAATGGCATAAAATCAATCTCATCGTCACTTACATCACTTTCTCTAAAACACTGGGAAAACGATAGTTTTCTCTTGCAAAGTTGCCTATGGGTAACACTCGCCACTCTTGTGGTGCTTGGCCCAGGGTCTTGTGTGGCCATACTGGCCACCCTAGAAGTACTTAGCCTAGGGTCTGCTGTGGCAACACTGGCTACTCCAGAGGTGCTTGGCCCTAAGACAGGTGTCATTACCCCAGAGGTGCTTGGCCCTAGGACAGGTGTCGCTACCCCAGAGGTGCTTGGCCCTAGGGCAGGTGTCGCTACCCCAGAGGTGATGGGCTGAGGGTCATTTGGGTTATCGTCGACATTTTCACTAATTCCTTGAATATTACTGGCCCCATTGGTGTCAGATCCACTAAACTCATGATCTATATCACTTTCCTCGAATAGTAGAATGTTAATACGACGAGGCGTGAGTGAATCAAGAGGATGTGCCATGGTGTTGACCCAAGATGGAGCTGAATGTAACTGGTCCTACCATGTGGTACCCGGGCATCCCACATTTTCTTCATACTGCGCACACTGAGTGCACACACCCATTCTCTCATGCCTAGGCGACTCAGGCCTATCACGCCAATTTTGAATGAATGAAAAATAAAACGTATATATACGTTTGGACCGTTTAAGGGTTAATTGGATTTACATTATTTCTCATGGGGAAAATGGTTTCAGTTTTCGTTGATTTCACATTTCGTCAGACTCTCTGGAACGAATTAAAGACGAAAAGGGAGGTTCCACTGTAACAGGTATTTATAGCAACAGGAGCAGAGTTAGACACCATGTAAGCTTGGTACAGAGGATATCGTCCGCAACTTCATTGCTAAAGAATTTATTGATCTGACCTGCTTCCACTAATAAGCCTGGCTCAGCTGCACCTCATGTCTGGCTCCATCCTCATACTGCTACTTGAGACTAAAGGACTGGTTATCTCTAAAATTTCCTCTCCACTTCTTCCCACTGTCTCCAGTATAAAAAAGTCACCTCTGTATTCAACTGAAGAAGCAGTTGTACTGGCAAAGTGTTCATCAAAAAAATACCTAGGTGCTGTAGATATTTCTTATTCATCAACTTGTTGGTAATGAATAAAATTGAGAAATTGATTGGGAGTGGGAAAAGACAAGGTTGAGTGAAGAGGAAGTGGGATGGAAAGGATGAGGAAAAGGGTAAGAAGGGCACCTTAAGACAAATTTATAAAGTTGTGCAGTATCATGAAATATGCTGAGATAGGAGGCCAGCGATTCACTCCTTGAATGCCTAATATACAGTGGGACCTTGCCTAGCGAACGCATCGCGTAACGTTAAATCTGCCTAGCGATACATTTTAACGCAAAAATTTTGCCTCGGCTAGCGCTAAAAAACTTGCTCAACGCGGTTCGTTCGAGACGCATCCACGTGCGACCTGAGCCCGCCTCACTTGTTCCGTGGGTGCCAGTGTTTACAAGCCAGCCACCACGGTCGCTTCCAAGCATACAATCAGAACATTTCATATTATCACAGCCTTTTTAGTGATTGCACCTGCAAAATAAGTCACCATGGGCCCCAAGAAAGCTTCTAGTGCCAACCCTACAGCAAAAAGAGTGAGAATTACTATGGATATAAAGAAAGAGATCATTGCTAAGTATGAAAGTGGAGTGCGTGTCTCCGAGCTGGCCAGGTTGTACACAAAGCCCCAATCAACCATCGCTACTATTGTGGCCAAGAAAATGGCAATCAAGGAAGCTGTTCTTGCCAAAGGTGCAACTTTGTTTTTGAAACTGAGATCGCAAGTGATAGAAGATGTTGAGAGACTGTTATTGGTGTGGATAAACGAAAAACAGACAGCAGGAGATAGCATCTCTCAAGCGATCATATGTGAAAAGGCTAGGAAGTTGCATGACGATTTAATTAGAAAAATGCCTGCAACTAGTGATGATGTGAGTGAATTTAAGGCCAGCAAAGGTTGGTTTGAGAGATTTAAGAATTGTAGTGGCATAATGTGATAAGGCATGGTGAGGCTGCCAGTTCGGACCACAAAGCAGCTGAAAAATATGTGCAGGAATTCAAGGAGTACATAAGACAGTGAAGGACTGAAACCTGAACAAGTGTTTAATTGTGACGAAACAGGCCTGTTTTGGAAGAAAATGCCAAACAGGACGTACATTACTCAGGAGGAAAAGGCACTCCCAGGACATAAGCCTATGAAAGACAGGCTTACTCTGTTGATGTGTGCCAATACTAGTGGTGATTGCAAAGTGAAGCCTTTATTGGTGTATCACTCTGAAACTCCCAGAGTGTTCAGGAAAAACAATGTCCTCAAGGCTAATTTGCGTGTGCTGTGGAGGGCAAACAGTAAGGCATGGGTCACTAGGGACTTTTTCTATGACTGGTTACACCATGCATTTGCCCCCACTGTGAAAAATTACCTAATTGAAAAGAAATTAGGCCTTAAGTGCCTCCTGGTATTAGACAATGCTCCTGGTCATCCTTCAGACGTGGCAGAGCGACTTTCTGTGGAAATGAGCTTCATTAAGATTAAGTTTTTGCCTCCTAATACCACTCCTCTCCTGCAGCCCATGGACCAGCAGGTCATTTCCAACTTCAAGAAACTGTACACAAAAGCTATGTTTGAAAGGTGCTTTGTAGTGACCTCAGAAACTCAATTGACTCCAAGAGAGTTTTGGAGAGATCACTTTTGCATCCTCAATTGTGTAAACATTATAGGTAAGGCTTGGGAGGAAGTGACTAAGAGGACCTTGAACTCTGCTTGGAAGAAACTGTGGCCAGAATGTGTAGACAAAAGGGATTTTGAAGGGTTTGAGGCTAACCCTGGGAATCCTATGCCAGTTGAGGAATCCATTGTGGCATTGGGGAAGTCCTTGGGGTTGGAGGTTAGTGGGGAGGATGTGGAAGAGTTGATGGAGGAGGACAATGAAGAACTAACCACTGATGAGCTGCTAGATCATCTTCAACAGCAAGAGGCCACACCTGAGGAAACTGCTTCGGAGGAGGGGATAGAGAAATTGAGGAAGTTGCCTACTTCAAAGATTAAGGAGATGTGTGCAATGTGGCTTAAAGTGCAAACCTTTTTTGATGAAAATCACCCTCACACAGCTATTGCAAGCCGTGTTGGCAACCTGTACACTGACAATGTTGTGAAACACTTTAGGAATGTCATAAAGGAATGGGAGGTACAGGCCTCTATGGACAGATATGTTGTGCGACAGAGGTCCAGTGACTCTCAAGCTGGTCCTAGTGGCATTAAAAGAAGAAGGGAAGTAACCCTGGAAAAGGACTTGCCACCTCAAGTCCTAATGGAAGGGGATTCCCCTTCTAAACACTAACACCATCAACACTCTCCCCTCCTCCCATCCTATCAATCATCACCAGATCTTCAATAAAGGTAAGTGTCATGTAACTGTGCATGTCTTCTTCAGTTTGTGTGTATTAAAATTAATATTTCATGTGGTAAAAATTTTTTTTTGTTCATACTTTGGGGTGTCCTGCACGGATTAATTTGATTTCCATTATTTCTTATGGGGAAAATTAATTCGCCTAACGATAATTTCGCCTAACGTTGAGCTCTCAGGAACGGATTAATGGCGTTAGGTGAGGGTCCACTGTAATTTATCTAATTTTCATTTTTTTTTTAGAGGAGTGTGATGAGCTGCAACACCGAGTGAAGGAGCTGCAGGATACTGTTGATGCTACTTCCAAGATGAACTTGGTCCTACAAACAACCGAGACAGAGTTACGTCAGCAGCTTCAGGGAGCCATCTTGCAGGAGGAGTATGCTATAGTCACTAAACAAGCTCAGCAACTTACTGATGAAAAAGTATGTCAGATTTACTTGTTTAGAATTGCATAGAGAGGCTTATAAGAGTTTTCTTTTAACATTAATTTGTCAGGAATTGGAAAGCAGGAGAATAACAAAAAAAAAGGCACGATTCCGTGACTGGAATGATACACAAATAACCCGCACATAGAAGAGAGAAGCTTATGACGATGTTTCGGTCCGACTTGGACCGAATATAATTAAGATGGAGTGTAGAATGATAAAGTTTGAATAAGGAATATAGAGGGTGGACAGAAGAGATGTGGATTGCATTCAACTAGTTGTGCTCCTTATTTATCGTAATTTATGCAAGTTGAGTCACAACTCCTGGCCTCTCCTCTTAATTTAAACAACTTGTGCCTCCTGATAGCAAGTTCCATGTTGTACAGTGAGCTAATTTCTGCATTATCTAAACACTAAAAATTCCATAACCTAACATAATCTATATTATTATTATAGTTAATTACTATAGTTAACTATCAATAACAAAATGATAAACAATCATCTTAAGGTTGACAACATGGGACACATGGTTACAACTTAAAACATTGGTAGCACTATATGTACTCTTAAGTTGGAGGAAGAGAGGCTTAAGATCCAGTGACCAACTTTACTGATTTCTGGCCTCCAGTAACCTATCTTACTTGATTATAAAACTGTGCATTTTGTTTACCTTCACCACCTTGTCACCTTGCTTGTTCCACTTGCCTGCTACCATCAACTAAAAAAGTTATTCGTCTGCTATTTATGCCTTCAAGCTGCTCTTCACATCTCAAACAACCTTTTTCTCCAAATTCTAATCCCCTTGTATGTATCTTTTATGTCAGCCTGCCCCCTCCTCTGGTTGTCCTCTCTTCTAGTTGTCATACTTTCCTGTTTAAAGACTATTTGTTTAATATAAATACAGTGGACCCTTTGTTATCGGCCGTAATCCGTTCCAGAAGCTCGGCCTAAAACCGAAATGGCCGAAAACTGAAATAATATTTCCCATAAGAAGTAAAGACAATTAATCCATTCCAGACAAAAATATTCACCCCAAAAATTTTTTTTTAACAATTAACCCTTTCAGAGTCATGAGGCCCTCTCCTAAACTTGTTTTCAGGGTCGAAAATTTGTTAAAAAAAAAATTATTTTTTCTTATAAAAACTTACAGAATTATGCTCTCGCGAAGTTAGCGGTCTCAACAATGTTAATGCATCGGCGATTTTGCCCACTTTGAGCCCTATTTTCAGCCAATTCCAGTGTACTAGTCGACAAAAATCATTACTATTTCACTAGAACTTCGTTTTTTCTATCGAATGAGTACAAGAAACCACCCATTTACCGATTTCAACTATCCAGTAAAATGGTCAGAAATTAGCAATTTTGCCAATTTCACACAAATTTTAAAAGATACCAGTTTCCAAATAGGGTCCAGAATAAACAAGACAGACATTCCTGGCACTAAAATAACATTTCCTCTGTTCATTAGTCACATCCCCAGGCCCTTCTTACATTTCTTTTACTTTCCACTTTGAATTTTTATTCTCACAAAAAATAAAAGATTTACTGTTATGCAGACTACTGTATTAGTGTAGAAATGGTATAAATAATATCAGCACACTTGTGGAAGAATATTAGACTCACCAGTTGATGTGTATTGGACGCGTGGCATGATTTGTTTACTCTTGAACTTTGGCAAAAATCGAACATTTCTGCTATTTTGAGCTCAATTTCAAGGTACTTATCATTGTGAAACCAATCAAACTCATCTCAATTTCTGTAATATGTCTTCCATTCTATAAAATGAGACCAGGAAAACTAGAATACAACCATAAATACCATACAAAAATACAGTGCAAAGTCGCTGTTTTAAACCAAAAACACTGTCAAGGTTTTTTTTTCTCATTACGCACTGTGTGCTGCAGGATTTTTTTTTATACTGCGCACACTGACCACAGACCCATTCTTTCATACGTAGGCCTACCAGCTTTCTCGTACTAGATTTGAAGGTGCTAGAATTTAGGCGTACTAGTATGTCAATAACCCTGGTGCATAAGCCGTACTAGTACGTTGGAAACTCTGAAAGGGTTAAATCAGTATTACATACCTTTATTGAACACTAATGCTGGTTTCCTGCATGTCTACTACACTTCCTGCATGCCTGCTACACTCCCTGCATGCCTGCTACACTCCCTGCATGCCTGCTACACTTCACACTTAAATTCCATGGTGTTCCTCACTTTCTTTACCACAGGAGCTTTACTAGGAACTTTCTTTGGAGCCATGGGTACTTATTTCGCAGTTGCACTGCAACTGTAGTATATTACATGTGGGAAAACAGCGAAATGTTTGGATGTATGAGCAGAAGCTTCCTCATGCACCGAAAGACACAGCCAAAGTGACGCACAAGCAGCCCCAGCTGGCAGACGGGCGTGTTCGAAACGGCTGATCACCGAGTTGGCAGATAACAGGAACGGCCAATAACCGAGGGTTCACTGTATGCAGAGGTGGTGTGGAGTTTCTAAAAGTATTAGTCAGAGGGCTGAAGAGGGGTTGTTGAGGTGGTTTGGTTATTTAGAGAGAATGGATCACAGTAGAATGACTTGGATGGAATATAAAGGATTTAGAGAATAATACAAACTTTGGAGAGGTTAATGTTAAAGTGACATTTCAGTCTATCCTGAACCAGTATCAAGGATGGACTGAAATGTCTAGTTTCCTCCAGAGTGCGAGGGGGTTGTCCTCAAAAAGGTTGAAGGGAGGGGGGGTAAAGGAGGTTTTATGGGCGAGGGGCTTGGACTTCCAGCAAGCATGTGTGAGCGTGTTAGATAGGAGTGAATGGAGACGAATGCTTTTTGGGACCTGATGAGCGGTTGGAGTGTGAGCAGGGTAATATTTTGTGAACGGATTCAATCTAGTTCTGCTTATCTGTCTTTCTGTCTGCCTGTGTGTGTCTGTCTTTCTATTTGCTTGTCTCTGTCTCAGGGAGCGGCTAGTAAACCTGTTGGTTTGTGGTGTATGGGCCACTCCCTGATTGCTGAGCAGGTGACACTGCTTTTATTTGCGTCATGTTTATGTCCTATATCTACAAACACTGTATAGTACTTGTCCTGGAATTTTTGGGTTATCCTAGGTAATTTACATTATGTATAATTGTATTTATGAGTACATGTGAGAGACAGAGATATAGACAGAGATACAAATAGTGATATAGACAGATATATAGATAGACAGAGATATAGGCAGATACAGACAGAGACAGCCAAAGCCAGTCAGTTAGCTAGCCGAATACATAAGAACATAAGAAAGAAGGAACACTGCAGCAGGCCTACTGGCCCATGCAAAGCAGGTCCATGTCACCCCCCAGCTTAGACCAATGACCCATCTAGTCAGGTCACATCCACTGAAAGAAGGAACACGACTTGTGACCCAGTAGCACAAGCAAGTCAGGTCCAACTCACACCCACCCACACCCACTCATGCATTTATCTAACCTATTTTTACTTTCCTCTTAATATGTGAGTGTTACTATGACATGACATCAGTGAATCACTGGTGTTTGCCATGCTATTTGCTCTAGCTGGCGCTCAGTTGAACCGGTGCTCCCACAAGGTACTAAGTGGTCCCCGATTTTTTTCATAGTGTGCACACTGAGTACACAGACCCATACTTTCATGTCTAGGCGACTCAGGCCTATCGCACCAAATTTGAAGGAATGAAAAATAAAACAATCTACATTTGGAGCCCACCGCACGTGAATGTATGTCTATGTGTGGACAGTTTAAGGGTTAAGGGTGTCCTTAAATATAGGTGCCCTGTGGCCTGGTGGTTTAAGCTCTCGCTTCACATGGTGAGGGTCTGGGTTCGATATACAGTGGGGAACATAGACAACTGGTGTTTCTTTACACTGGTTGTCTACGCTCCCCATCAGTAAATGGGTACCTGGGAGTTAGTCGACTGGTGTGGATCACATCCTGGGACAAAACTGTAACCTAATTTGCCCGAAATGCTCTACATAACAAGTAGCTTTTGTACCTCTGTATGTATGCTAAAATTTCTAAATAAATAAATAAATATAGTAGTATGTCATTGATGTCAGCTAGGCCTATATACCTTGTATATGTACTTGAAGAAATGAAGATAGTATTATTATTATTATTATTATTAATAATGTGACTTGCTTGACAGATGCAATTATCATCAGATAAAAAGCGTCTGCAAGCTTTAGTAGATGTTCTGAGTACCCAGATGAAGCAGAAACAAATGCTTGAATCTTTGAATCAAGCTGAAGTGGATCATTTAAGAAAAGAAGTTCAAGATCTTGCAGCAATTAGTGATGAGCGCTCTAAAATAGGTGAGAAAGCTGTAAGTAAATGGTTACTTGCAGATTGTAATAGTTCATTTATTCATTATAATTATTGCATTCAGTAAAAATAAAAATTTTCATTAGCACTAAAAATTTTTTCACCAACTTTAAGAGAGATTATGGGAAACTTAGTACAATAATGTATTTTTTTTTTTACACAAAGGAGTGCACATGCACTCATGCATTATTTTAATGTTGAGATAAAGCAGTGACTTAATATATATATTGAGGTAAAACCATTGTTTTACTGTGCTGATGTTTATTCAGTATAGGACTAACTTATTATACTGAAGCACAAGATATGTCATAGTATTATTAAAAAAATTAATCTACCGTATTGATTCAATTAGAAAACATTCAGAGAAAAAATGGCCTCAACATTGTAAATATAATTACCATATATATTATTGCTTTTCAGATGAGTTCAGTCGAGAGATAATCTTTCTGAAAGTTAAGAATTTAGAACTGATTGCTGAAGTGGACGAGACTAAAGCCTTGTGTGAAAAACGGTCAGTTGAAATCTCTAGTTTAAGTCAACAGTTACGTGATAGAGAGAGACTTTTAGAAACTTCAACAGACACCAATCATGCCAGAGCCACGAGATTATATGTCATCATCAGGGACCTAAGGTTTGTATAGAAATACTGAGTGCATGTTGATTTTCTCTTAATTTTTTAACATTTAAAGGACAACAACATACAGTATACAGGACTGTGCACAATATACTGTATTAGATATGTACTGGTTTTAGTTGTTTTTGGTAATCTGATCATAATTACAGTATTAATACTGTATGAAGAACAATAACACTGGATAAGGCCAGTGTTATTGTTCTGTGCTTCAGGTAATTCCATGTCTGTCTTCAAAATTTTGATAAAACAAAAGATACTGTACAATAGTGTGTTTTTCTATAATGTATTAGCCCTTTCACTGTCCAGATCTCCAAAATTAAAATTGCTTTCAGTGTCCAATTTAAAAAAAAAAAATTTAATTAAAAAATAGACATTTTCCTGATGGTAATAAAACTACAGTTGCTCGAGTTCATGAAATTCCTGAAGTAAGGTTCCATGCACAGTGGATGGAGTTTTGCAAGTTTTTACACATGAATCACATGTCCTTGTATTTCTTTCTTTATCTGGTGGTGTTAGAACATACATAACACATCTGGGAATATTTCTTCTTCTCAGTGGAAGGAAGTTGTATTATATAGTGCTTTAAAGCTCATCAGGATTCTCCTTGCTTGATGGTGCATCTGTAGTGGCAGCAGCATTCTCTCTATCTTCATATTCATACAACACCAAGTCCTCATCTCTATCTTCAGTACCAGAATCACTCTGGGCAAATAGCAAATGGCCAATAATCTGTGGAGCGAGGGGATGTTTGGAACGTGACATGTTGGTATGGTACATTGAGGCAAACTGTTCCTAAAATGCTCATTGTGATGCAGGAATTTTTTTGTTGGTGCCACACCCACACAAAAAGTGAGCTAAAGGGATAACTGGCAAAGGAGGCAGATGGATCTTCAATTTTCTAACCAATCGAACACAAAGAGTAGTAGTAAACAGAGTTAAATCGGAAGCTGCCATAGTGAAGAGCTCTGTTCCACAAGGCACAGTACTTGCCCCCATCCTGTTCTTCATCCTCATATCATAGACAGAGATTTAAACCATAGCACTGTATCATCCTTTGCAGACGATACTAGGATCTGCATGAGAGTGTCATCCATTGAAGACATGGTAAATCTCCAAGAAGATATAAACCAAGTTTTCCAGTGGGCAATGGAGAACAGTGTGATGTTCAATGAAGACAAATTCCAACTACTCTGTTATGGAAAACTGGAGGAAATAATAGCTAGAACTGAGTATACTACAAACTCTAATCACACAACAGAGCAGAAAAGTAATGTGAATGACCTGGGAGTGGTAATGTCTGAGGATCTCACCTTCAAGGATCACAACAATGCCACTATCATATCTATGAGGAAAATGATAGGATGGATAATGAGAACATTCAGACCAAGAGATGCCAAGCCAGTGATGATCCTTTTTAAATCACTTGTTTGCTCTAGACTGGAATACTGCTGTACATTAACTTCTCCATTCAAGGCAGGTGAAATCACAAATCTAGAGAATGTACAGAGAACCTTTACTGCATGTGTAAGTTCTATCAGACACCTTAATTACTGGGAACACTTGGAAACACTTGACTTGTACTCACTGGGGTGCAGGTGAGAGTTACATCATAATCTACACCTGGAAAATCCTAGAGGGACTGGTCCATAATCTACACACAGAAATCACTCTCTACAAAAGCAAAAGATTAAGATGTTTATTTTGACAAATTACATGGTTGTACAGAGGAATATAATAGTTGGGTGTACATGCCAAAAGCCCCTTTGTATGCAGAGCATTTTGGGCAAACTTAAAGATTAACTTAAGAATAGTAGTGACTATACTCTACATGACCAAAATGCTATAGCTATACACTTGTCCAAACTTCCCACCACTACAGATATCAGTACTAAAACTCAACCCACAACTCAGGATATAAATAACCATAATTTAAACCTAGAAGATGATTGATCACGTTGACCCTGATCTAAACCTCCATAATCTGACACACAATCAAAACCTATTGGAAAATAACTGCCTTTACTACACAGCATCACAAGCCAGCACTATCCTAAACAATGCTAAAAGTCTATCAGTACTTAACTACAACATTAGGTCCTTTAGCAAACATTATGATGACCTCCTGGCACTCCTTGAATCACTAAAGACACCCTTCTCCTGCATTATTCTTACTGAGACCTGGCTTAAGCAGGACACAATAGATATCTACCCTCTACCAGGATACACAGCAATCCACAACTGCAGACCATACCAAGTTAGGGGTGGTATTGCAATCTATTACTCTAACCAATTATCTTGTATTAGCACCACTTGCTTTAATGATGAATATGGAGAATACATTTTTGCTAATTTTACTGTAAAAAACCTTAAGACGCCTATAACAATCGGTGCCATTTACTGGATACCCCACACAAACATCCCAAATTTCAGTGAGAAACTTAAGGCACTAATAACAAACAGACAAATGAATAAGCACCACCTTCTCTTAGCTGGAGACTTAAACATCAACCTTGGCCTACTAGATGATCAGCCTGTAACTGATTTCATCAACAATATGAACAACACACTTCTCATACCAACAATAATGAAACCAACCAGGCTCACTGAAACAAGTGCAACCATAATAGACCACATATGGACCAATATACTAGCCCCCCTTAAATCAGGGATAATCACAGATAGCACTACAGACCACTACCCTACCTTCCTCTTGACAAACATTAGTAAACCACCACTTGAATACAACAAAGTTTCATTTAGACTCCATGTTGAGGCCTCAATAAGGAAGTTCACAGCTGACTTAGAGACTGTTGACTGGCCTACAGAATTCTCCAAGGCCAATGGTACTGATGACTGGACAGACATTTTTCTTAACAAATTACTTAGACTATACAACAAACATTGTCCTATAAAAACAAAACAGATCACAAACAAACGGCTTGGTTGCCCATGGCTAACCAGCACCATTCTGAAATCCATTGATAAGAAACACCAATATGAAAAGCAATATAGACAGGGCTTAATACACAAAGATATTCTTAAACACTATTCATCAGTCCTCACCAAATTAATAAAGAAAGCCAAACAACTATACTACTCCAGTAGATTCACTGACACAAGAGGAGATATAAAAAAGACCTGGAAAACACTCTCTCAGATTCTAGGGACCCACAAACTGAAAAAAAACAAGAATATTGCCCTAACTAAAACTAATGAAACACCACTGCATCCCACTTACACAGCTAACAAGATAAACGACTTCTTCTCAATCATAGGTTCTAATCTCGCCAATAAAACCCCACGCACCAATGCCCATGCCGGGGACTACCTAGATGGGAATTTCCCAAATTCCTTCTATCTTGCTCCAACTGAGCCCATGGAAGTCACCGAGATTATAAAGTCACTTAAAAATAACTCAGGAATCTGTCTCATGTCCCACCATTATGTAACAAGAGAGCGGCCCATGTCCTCTCGCATGCTATCTCATTGCTTTTTAACAAGTCACTAGAAACTAGCACCTTCCCGAAACTACTCAAGACGGCAAGGGTTACACCAATACATAAAGGTGGTGACCGTACAGATTTAAACAACTATAGGCCAATATCAAACTTACCATTGCTATCCAAAATCTTTGAGAAACTCGTGCACAAGAGACTATATTCATTTATAATGGCACAAAACATACTCAACCCCTGCCAATTTGGATTCAGGAAAAATAAAAGCACTAACGATGCAATCATAAAAATGCTAGATCTGCTTTACACAGCATTGGAAAATAAGGAATATCCACTAGGAATTTTTATTGACCTAAGAAAAGCTTTTGACACAGTAGACCACAGCATCCTACTCCACAAACTTGACCATTATGGTATAAGAGGCCATGCGCTTGCATATTTCAAATCTTACCTTACTAACAGGTATCAGTATGTCACCATTAAAGACACAGCATCAACAACACAGCCACTTGATACTGGAGTTCCGCAGGGAAGTGTCCTTGGTCCCCTGCTCTCCTCATATACATCAATGATCTTCCAAACGTATCTCAACACCTGAACCCCATTCTCTTTGCTGACGACACGACTTATGTCATCTCTCACCCTAATCTTGCCACCCTCAACACCATTGTTAATGAGGAGCAGATCAAAATGTCGACTTGGATGACAGCCAATAAACTTACGCTTAACACTGACAAAACCTACTACATTATGTTTGGTAGCAGAGCAGGAGATGCGCAAATTAACATTAAGATCGACAACACTCTAATTGCCAGGCATAATGAGGGCAAATTCCTAGGCCTATACCTCGACAACAACCTGAACTTCAGCACCCATATCCAACACATAACCAAAAAAGTATTCAAAACGGTTGGGATCCTCTCCAAGATACGATACTACGTGCCGCAAACTGCCCTACTCACACTATACCATTCACTTATATATCCATACCTCACCTATGCTATCTGTGCTTGGGGTTCAACTGCAGCAACACACCTAAAGCCAATAATAACCCAACAAAAAGCCGCAGTAAGAATAATCACTAAATTCCATCCCTGGCAACACACCCCCCCCCACTCTTCATAGATCTAAACTTACTCCCTGTTCAGTACATCCACACTTACTACTGTGCAATCTACATCTACAGGACCTTAAATTCCAATATTAACCTTGACCTAAAACACTTTCTTGATAGTTGCGACAGAACCCACAGGCACAACACCAGACACAAACATCTCTATGACATTCCCCGTGTCCGACTAAACCTTTACAAAAATTCAATGTATGTCAAAGGCCCTAAAATCTGGAACACCCTACCTGAAAATTCTAAAACTGCAGACACATTCATCACCTTCAAAACTACCATCAGAAAACATCTTATCTCCCTGATACACCCTGTCAACTAATTACACGAATACCACCTGGTGGTTAACACTTACACTCACTCACCCATTTGACCATAAACAGAAATATCAATCTCAATCTCAAAATAATGAATCTTAA